GCCCACAGCACTGAGGGCAGAGCTCTGAACCCACAGCACTGAGCCCACTGCCCACAGCACACAGCCCAGAGCTCTGAGCCCAGAGCCCCCAGCACTCAACATTGAGCCCACAGCACTCAACATTGAGCCCACAGCCTTAGGCCCACAACCCACAGTACTGAGCCCACAACCCACAGCACTCGGCACTCAGCGCACAGCTCACAGCCCATGGCACTGAGGGCTGAGCACTGAGGGCTGAGGGCTGAGCACTCGGCACTCGGCACTCGGCACTCGGCACTCGGCACTCGGCACTCGGCACTCGGCACTCGGCACTCGGCACTCGGCACTCGGCTCACAGCTCACAGCTCACAGCTCACAGCTCACAGCTCACAGCTCACAGCTCACAGCTCACAGCTCACAGCTCACAGCTCACAGCTCACAGCTCACAGCCCAGGGCGCTGAGCCCAGTCAGTCACTGAGCCAGTTCACACTCTTTACTCATAAAGACACCAGGAATCACTTCAGACCTTCACACTGACCCCTGTGACCTACTACTGGGGGCTTCAGTTTCCATTCCACACCACCAGACTCAGGCCCACTATTTCCTGACTGGCAACCAACCGGTGCAGAGAAAAGCCCTCCAGGTGAGACTCTCCCCCCCCCCCCGAGACTCTCCTACTGAGCCGGACCCAGCTGTGCCGGAGACCCCAGGAGTCCGCTGTCTCTCGGACGAGCTCTTCCTCTTCCGGCACAACACAAACACCACGTCAGCCCTTCCTGCCGGGAAACATCCAAGCTCTCCTGGCCAGGTCCTGCCTCACACAGCCAGCTCCTCGGCACACGGACACCCACAGTGACCGCGGCCACGCTGCCCGAGGGGGCGTGGCGTAACCGGGGGCGTGGCGTAACCACGGCCACGCTGCCCGAGGGGGCGTGGCGTAACCGGGGGCGTGGCGTATCCACGGCCACGCTGCCCGAGGGGGCGTGGCATAACCGAGACCACGCTGCCCTGGGGGGCGTGGCTTAACAGGGGTGTGGCGGTTCGCCCGAGCACTGCGGGGCCCCCCAGGGCCCGACAGAACACTTCCTGCAGCCCCGCGAGCCGGGAGCTGCGGATTACTGCGGATTACTGCGGACGGTCGCTGGTGACCGGGCCAGAACTCCTGCATTACCGGTCTCCTCTCCGGGAACGCGGCTGGTGTTGAAAATCCTCTCACACTGGGCAGCACACAGGGGGATGATGGTACCAGGGACACGACTCTGAGGCGGGGGGGTCAGGGGTCACACACGGGAGAGAGGGAGAGAGACAATGAAGAGGGAATGAGATTCGGGCGGCAGACACTAGCTCACACTCCTGCCTGGGGCTGGGGGGGGTGATGATGGACAAACACTCAGAACCAGACACCTGCACCGTCTCCCACTGCTCCGTACCATCAATGGGAGATTATAGTATCAGTTAATAATC